TGCACTCCATTTGCTTCGGAGTTGCTTGTTTGGTTAGTATGATTTGGACGTGTATTGTTTGGTATGGCAGGACTCTGTCCCATCTTTTATGAAAATTATGTATCCTTAGAGGCTTGTAGACAGATGTCATGTACGTAAAAGATTGTATGGCCTTGTCGGCCTATGTTCAGTGTACGAGTGGTTATTTTGGTCTTATAGGCCCGTATGTCTTATGTATAAGTGGGTATTACATGTTATATTTTACTTATTTCACGGCAACCTTCCGGCTCAGTTATCTATGATAGTATGATATGAAAAGATACGTTATGTTGGTACTCGATTGAGTAAGGTATTGGATGTCCGTTACTGCCCATCGATTCGGGTCGTGACAGATGTAGAGGGGAGAGTCTCCCTTACTTTTCTTATGCATGCAACTCTAATATATGTACATATTTTGGTATTAACAAACAAGAAAGAGAGAAATCGTTAATTATAATATTCAGATTAAATGGAGATCACAATGCAAATTTTATCAGATTCTCATCATGTACTTCAAGACAAAATGTGCTTTCACTGGAAGTTTACATAATAGAGGATATTTGGCATCTTAGCATTACCTAGATGAATATTTATTTTATTTTTATTAGTAGCAGTCTAAATCGTGACTATGTGCCCATAACTTTCGAAAAGAAAAAGAAAACTATCACTACTAGAAATTCGGTAAAAACCGATCAAAAAAACGGACCAACATTGATCGGTAATGGCCAAAAACCCACCAAAACGTGACCATTTACGTGTGGATGGTATTTTTGTGGTCGGAAAGGCATACCGACCAAAGTTTGTCGAAAATTACCAACCAACTTTGGTCGGTCAATTAAATTCAAAAAAAAAAAAAATTGCAAAAAAACCGACCAAAGTTGGTCGGTATTTTAATTGTGTAGTAAAAAGATTCACCATGTGGGAATCGAACCGAAGTCTATACTGTGGCAGGATACTATTCTACCACTAGACCATTGGTACATTATGTTTTAAGACTGTCTTTTATTTGATTTATACTCTTTAATTGTATTTTCGCACGAAAATAACCGACCAAAGTTGGTCGGTTTTATTAAAAAGTAAAATTACCGACCAAAGTTGGTCGGTTTTTTTAAATGACCCGCCGAATTAACCGACCAATTTTGGTCGGTTTTTTTAATATTAATTTTTATTTATTTTAATATTGGTCGATTTTTTTAATATTAATTTTTATTTATTTTAATTAAAAAACCAACCAAAGTTGGTTGGTTTCTTGAAACATAAATTTTGCGGGACTCAAAAATAGTTTTTCGCATTTTTGCGCCAAAGAAAACCGACCAAAGTTGGTCGGTTTCGTAAAAAAAAATTAAAAAAAAATATTTTGAAAAACCGACCAACTTTGGTCGGTTTTTTGGTCGGTTTTTTGACCGACCAAAGTTGGTCGGTCGATCTTGGTCGGGTTTTGCCGAATTTCTAGTAGTGTATCTATATAGGATGGATTATTTAAATATTTCAATTTTTTTTTCTTATTCGGAAAATCTCTTGAAATCATAATTGTGATGACCCGATAGGTCGTTTTGAGTACTAGCCTTTACTTCCGTGTTTCGAGACCTCCATTAACTTCATTTGATATTTCTTTATTTGCGTGCGTGGTCTGTGTCCTTTTCCGAAAAGTTTTTACGTAAAAATTGAAGAAAAAGTGATTTTTGACCTAAAATGGCATTTGAGATGACCGCGGTCAACATTCTTGGTAAACGATCTTGGATCGGTATTTTGACGATTACGGTAAGTTCGTGTTGTGATTTTGAACTTGGGCGTATGCCCGGAATTAAAATCGGAGGTCCCTAGGTTGATTTGACTTGATTTGCCGAAGGTTAGCAATTTGAAAGTTTTGAAATTTTTTACGTTTGATCGTAGGTTGACTTTATGGTTATCGGGTTTGGATTTTGGTTTTGAGACTTGAAATAGGTCCATTTTATTATTTGAAACTTGTCTGCAAAATTTGGTACAATTCGGAGTTAATTCGATAGGATTCGGACGCTTGGTTGTGATTCTAGAGGTTCTTGAGTTTTTATTTGAATTTCATGCGTTTTGTTGTCCGATTCGTAGTTTTAGATGTTATTTTTGTATTTTGATTGTGCGAGCAGATTCGCATGATATTTTTAGACTTGTGTACATATTTGGTTTGAAGTCTGAGGGGCTCGAATAAATTTCGAGTGTGTATCAGATGAGTTTTGGATGACTTGAACTAGCCGGTGCACTTCTGTTTCTGGAGTTGGTGTGCAGATCTCGCATTTGTGAGGTCTGGCTCACAAATGTGAATTTCGCTTTTGTGATCAAGACATCGCATTTGCAAGCAGGGGCCTGGGCTAGGTGATCTCGCAATTGTGAGGAAAGAGTTCGCATTTGCGAACAAGCTGAGACCGCATTTGCTATGCAGCGTTCAGAGGGGTGAGCTTCGCATTTGTGAAGTAATTATCCGCACTTGCGAAGGGGGGATATTTGCATTTGCGATATGTGGGTCGCATTTACGACTTCTAGGATTCTGACGCACAGTTCGCATTTGCAACCTGTGTTTTGTATTTGCGACATCTGCAGCTAGGTAAAAGAAGAAAAATCGGGATTTAGCTCATTTTATACCATTTCTCAGCCCTAAACACTCTAGAGGCAATTTTTCGAGAGATTTTTCTTCCCAAATTCATTGGTAAGCAACTTTAATCCATCTTCTTTCAATTACCCAATACTTTTCATGTGTTTTCAACATCAAAGTATGAATTTGATGTCGGATTTTAAAACAAATCACATAACCGAGCTCGGGGATGAATGAGTATTCTGGTTTTGGTCCGAATCTCGGGTTTTGACCAAGTGGGCCTGTGGTTGACTTTTGTTGACTTTTTCAAATTCATCAAAGATTGAACCTTTTTCCTTCGTGAATAGTTTCTAAAGCTTATTTTGAATTGTTTAGTCGATAATTGGTTAGATTTGGTTGGTTTGGAGGCTTGTTCAAAAGTCAAGGCCATGGTTGGTTGATTGACTTGGTTGCAGAGTAAAGTAAGTGTCGTGGTTAATATTGACTTGAGAAAATTAGGACTTGTTGGTCTATTTGCTACGTGAATTATGTATAGAAACGGCGTATATGTAAGGTGACGAGTATATATGCGTTGACATTGGGTAAAAGGCATGCGGGTCACTAACATCTTTTTCTTATTGATATGAAGGGGAGAGTCTCCCTTATTTTTCTTATGCATGCAACTCTAGTTAAGATATGTACTTCTTTTAGTATTAACAAACAAGAACGAAGAAAGCGCTACTTATAATATTCAGAATGAATGGAGATCGCAATGGGTATTTTGTGAAGTGCTAACAAGTTTTTTGTCATGTGAATGAGCATGTCCATTCATCTCTATTGAGGGCTGTGTTGAAACACATACTCCTCATCTTGTATAACTTTCTATTTTGTTATATAGGGCGCTGCCGCCGTACGGCAGAATCAATTGAAAAAAAATGGAGATCACAATACAATTTTTATCAGATTATATTCTCATCATGTACTTCAATACAAAATGTTCATTCATGGGAAGTTTACATAATAGAGTATTTTCTGGCATCTTAGCATTACCTAGACGAATATTTATTTTATTTTTATTAGTAGGAAATGGGATGGTTGCAGTCGAAACCGTGACTATGTGTCTCTAACTTTCGAAAAGAAAAATAAAACTATCTATATAGGATGGATTATTTAAATATTTCAATTTTTCTCTTATTCGGAAAATCTCTTGAAATCATAATTTTTTTGGCTAATTAAATATATGATTAAACTCACTCCCTCATTTAACCTATTTAATTTACTGTATCAGTAGAAACTTTAAATTTAGGGAAAAAAGAAGAAAAAACTCATGATTAAACTGTGGCACCAATAAGATTAAAATGTTTGCCAACAGGAAAAAACTAATGGTTAAAACTTTTATCATATAACAACAATTAAATTATGTTGTTGCTATTTACCTACAGATATATTATTGGTGTTGTTGTTGCCGATTTCAGACTTTGTTGTAGTAATAATAATCAAACTAATATCGCAGATTACCAAGAACATAAAATATCAATTTAAATCGATAACCCATAATGGAGTCATGGAGACGATACAGATCTATTTTGGAACTCACTGGCAACTGAATCACCATCGCTAACTCTCAACACCTAATATCAATAAACACTACTGATTCAACTATAAGTATTTGCAATTATATTTCTTTTTTTCCTTTTATGAGCTCATGATCTCCATCTCAATAATAAGATTGCCGTGATCTCAGCGTTTGCAAACGGACTTATAGTTTTGAATATGGGTACAATTAAATCTAACATTTTTTATAAATGCCATAGATATTTTTGTGAGGATCGTGAAATATTTTTATAAGTATTAAATTTTATTGAGATTAACACAATGAAGAAGATATGAAGCTTAATTCCTCAGAAGCTTCAATGGTGAGTCTCGAGAGTTCTGAGAGAGAGGAAAGGGACTGACAGGAGAGCGAATGAGACGAATTGTAAAATAGAACTCTGATATTTCTCATTATTGTATTGTGTATATATGTACACGTATGCTAACTATAATACCTATACAGGTACAACTAACTTTACAACTAACTACACATAACTACATGCTGACTCATCATAGTACAAGGTAGAAGTAATAATAATTAACTCTCAATATCCCCCCTCCCCCCCTCCCCTAAGTTCGATGGGAGGGTCTCACAGCCAACTTACCAAGGACACCAGTATGTTTAACTCCTGTGAGGGCTTTGGTAGGAATGTTAGCCAATTGATCATTAGTGGCTACATGGTGGAGAGAAATCAGGCCCTCCTAGAGTTTGTTCCTTACAAAGTGACAGTCTACTTCAATATGCTTTGTCCGCTCATGGAACACAGGAGTGTGAGCAATGTGGATGACAGATTGGCTATCGCAGAGGACAACAATAGGACTCGAGTGTAGGATAGTGAGCTCTTCAAATAACCTGCTTAACCACACCAGTTCCCCAATAACTTTCCTGAGGGACCTGTATTCAGCTTCAGCTGAAGACAAGGAAATAGTCTCTTATTTTTTGGACTTCCAGCTGATGGGACTATCTCCCACTAGAATAATATAACCAGTAACAGATCTCTTAGAGTCAGGGCAGGCTGCCCAGTCGAGTCACAATATGCAGAGATGGAACAATCAGTGTTGTTGGAGAAAAATCTCTCTTGTGTGGGATCCTTCTTGAGGTATCTGAGAAGATGGAAAGCTGCAGTCAAGTGTGTATCTCTAGGTGCTTGCATGAATTGGCTGAGGAGTTGTAAACTGTATGAAATATCTAGCATGGTGTTAGTTAGAAAATTCAGCTTGCCCACTAGTTTTTTGTAATATATGGGATCTGGGAGAAGAGTGCCTTCAATTTCAAAGTAGGATCAAGAGGAGAAGATAAGGTGTTGTAGGTAAAGAAGTCATACTCCTTTAACAAGTCTAAGGCAATCTTCCTTTGAGAAATGATAACACCATATGCCTGTTAAAGGACTTCTAACCCCAAGAAATAGTGAAGTCTCCCTATGTCCTTGATTTTGAACCGCTTGTTAAGGAATGCCTTTAAGTTGTCTATCTCCACTGAATAAGTACCAGTAATGATAACATCATCAACATAAATAACTACAAAGATGGTGGAGGATGAGGTCTTCTTAGAGAACAGTGAATAGTTATTTTCAGAATACTTGTACCCCATTGATGACAGGACTTCAGTCACCTTAACATATCACTGTCTGTTGGCTTGTTTTACCCCATACAAAGACTTGTTTAGCTTGCAGACCATCTTGTGTGAACCAGACTGATCAATCAGAAGACCTGGTGTCGCCTCCATATATACCTCTTCATATAGGTCACCATAGAGGAATGCATTGTTTACCAAGTTGGAATATATCCCAGCTTTTATTCACAACAACAGTAACCAAAACTCTAACTGTTGTCATCTTGACAACAGGAGAAAATGTCTCTGTATAACCTCTGCTTGTTGAGTATAACCTTTCACTACTAATATAGTTTAATCTCTCAATACGTCTATCTACTTTATGCTTGACTTTATAAACCCACTTGCATCCTATTGCTTGTTTTCCAGCTAGCAGGGGTACTAGGTCCCAAGTATGGTTGGCATGAAGAGCATCAAATTCCTGTGTCATGGCTGCTTGCCATGTAGGATTAAGTGTTGCCTCTCTATATGAGGATGGTGCACTATCATGACAAATATTTGTCACCAAGTGCTGACTCTCAGAACACAAGACATCATGGGTGATGTGATTAAGGTTGGAGAAGAGTGCATTCAAGGAAGGTGAACATTGAGAGGTAGCAGGTTGAGATGTGTTAGGAAGGGTACAAATATAATCCTTGAGGTAAGTAGGAGTTTTATGTGTTCTGTTGGACTTCCTGAGTATAGGTGTTTCTGATTGAGTAGATGTAGGTGAAGAATGACTAGTAGCTTCATATGAAGCTGCAAGGATAGAAGCATAAGGGAATGGGGTGTCTGATGTATGTGTTGAGGTGTCATTAACAGGAGAAAATTTAGAGTGTTGATGTACACCTGGAGATGTGATATCTTCAGAACTTTGAACACCGGGATGTGTACTGTCACCCTCAATGTAAGTAGGAAAGGAGACTAATTTGAAGACATTGTATAGAGAAACATACGTAGAAGATAGAGTAAAGGGAAAGACATTTTCACAGAACACCACATCTGTAGAGATATGTATCTTCCTACGGGCTAGGCTTAGTACTTTGTTACCCATTGTTCCAAAAAGATAGCGTATAAATGTAAGGCCCCGTAAAATTTTATTAAGAAATTTAAAGTTTTGTGATGCCGAGGTAAACTAATGTGTACGAGGGTTGTAGAACCGCAATACGGACTTTTTGGGTTGAAGAATGCACTGAAGTGTTGATGGAAATTTTTGGCAGAAGAAGGCGATTCTGTGGTTAATTTCGCGACCGCAGAACTGTTCCGCGGACCACATAAGCATCGCAAAGTGGAACAAAAAATGGGCAAATTTTGAAAAATAATTTTGCGGGCCGCATAACCATTTTGCTAGCCGCATAAAAATTCTACTGCCCACATATCCATTCTGCTAGCCACATAATCGATTCTGCTGCCCAAATATCTATTCTGCTGGCCACATATCGATTCTTCTACCACATAATTGCACCACATAATTGACTTCAGAGGTCATTTTTGAAAAGTTTCTTATCGGACCCTATTTTGATATAAGGCGTTAGGGGGTCATTTTACAAGGTAAAATCTGATATTTTTAGAGAGAAGTGAGAGAATCTTAGAGAGAGGGAGAAGACCTAGAAATTTTATTCATCCAATCTTGCCCAAAATATTCAAGAATCATAGAAGCTACTCCCTAAACCATCATCTATCCGGGTAAGTCACTCTCCTAAGTTTTATGCAATAAGTTATGGATTTATGTATGTAGTGGGGTTAGATATAGGCTATGCATGAGATATTAGGAAGTAGTATGTGGGGTTGTTGAACTATTTTGGGTAGTTTCTTGTTAAAATTGGTTGAGGGAGGAAGGGATTACCCTTGTAGAGCTTTGTAATCAATTTTGCATAATAGGTGTTTGACAAAATTTCCAAGAGACTTATGTCATGAGAATCCTTCTAATTATTATCCGATTTTCGCTATCTTCCTATAGATTGATATTGCTAGAGGTGTAGGGACGTTGTAGTATCTTAAGGAAAGCTCAAACAAGGTATGTTGGCTAAACTACTCTCTTAGAATTGAATTCCATGATGTTCCAGTAAGTTTCAAGTATGGTTGGCTCAAGTTCATTATTCCCATGTTCCGAGTTGTTCCCATTAAATTCGATTGTCCTGAGTAAGCAAAGTGTCTAGAATTATGTATTCAAAATGTGTTCCGAATGTTCCTATCACATTATGTTATCCTTCGGGAATGTGTTCAAGAATGATATGTATATTAAAATGTTATGGCTTTGAGTCGTGTTTCAAATGAAAGTCCATTATGCTTAACTTGGAAAGAATATTCCATGCGTCTAAAACTCCTATTGCTCATATGTGTACCTAAAGTCTTGATTTGAAATGCCTTGTTGTTGATAATCTATAAAGATGCTTGAAAGTGAAAGAAGTGGGTTGAATATGTAAAGTGTGGCCACCGGGCCAATAATGAAATTTATACTTGTGGCCAATGGTTCCAATAAAATGAAATGATATGACAGACATTATGGAATGGGCCTTGATTTAACTGTTTCAAAATGACTTTGAAAATAGATTTTCCTAAAAGCTTATGTACTCGAGTCATGCCCAAATGTGGCTGTTTTAACTAATGCTATTTTTTGTAAGTATTTCCAATGTGTTTTAAGCTCTTATATATTCATGAGTTGAAATTGTGCATTGCCCTTTTGGGGGAAAAGTATTTCAAGAATAAATGGTGTGTTACTCGTTTATGATTTTAATTTGCACTTTGATTGCCAATCATTTTACTTAATTTCTTGGACAGAGATCCACTGTGTTAAAGTCTTCATTACAAATGAACTTAAAGTTGTGATTTTTGGAATATTCTATATGTTGATGTTTATGATAATGATCCTTGAAAGTAAAGAAATGGAAGTGTGGAATATGAAATACGGCCATTATGCCATGAAAGAAGAATCATATGTCTGGCCAATAGAGCTAATTAAATGATGATGTTGTAAGTGGTTGAAAGTACAAATGAATCTATATACAGTGTGAAAGGTTATAAGGTAAATGCAATTGTATTTATGTTTCCTTGTATTAAAATCAAAAATATTTTTGGGAGTATCGTTAGTCACCGAGGAAGGGTAGGTGGGAACAACCTAACCCCGAAACTACACGTGCCGGTGTAGCAGTGCATTGTGATTATGCCCCTTATTTGAGATGAGATTGATGTGATAAGAATATTCCCCTTAATTGAGATGAGATGATTGCTAGCAAAAGGGTGATGTCAATCCACACGGCATTATGGTGAGATGACCTAGCCAATCGGGTCGAGATCGAACGTCATGCCGCACACATGGTGGTGATTGTGATTGTGATTACACCTCCACCCGCACACATTGGGGTGAGGCGAAAGGGCTGCTTTGTGTAGAAATTATTGTGATTGGATGTCTCTGGTGAGACAGCTTAGCCGATCGGGCTGAGATCGGACTCTGTGCTAAAAGTACGGTGTTATTGTGATTGGATGTCTTTTGTGAGATGGCTTAGCCGATCGGGCCGTGATCGGACTCCGTGCTAAATTCACCGTGGTATATCGGTACTAAAGATCTCCCAACCAAAAATAACATTATCTTTGTATTTTGATTATCATCTTTACAGTATTGTCTTCGTATTTTGAAAACTATTATGTTTTAACTTGGCATTTGGATATCATTGATCGTTGCTTGCTGTTTTCATGATTTTCCTTTCTTATATTGGAATTCTATTTTGAAAGAGGACATTTAGCTTTATATACTAGTACTATTCCATATATACTAACGTCCCTTTTGCCGGGACGCTGCATCTTTAATGGATGCAGGTGGTTCATCAGAGGAAATCTTTGGAGCTCGTTAGCAGTTACTCCCTATTCAGCAGGTTTTGGTGAGCCCTACTCTATTCCAGGCCTGATTTCATTTGATGTTGTATGTTGTGTTATGAGGTATAGCTGGGGCCTTATTGCCGACACTTTCATTCTACTCTTTTGTTGTACTTAAAGGCTCCGTAGACAGGTTGTGGGTGGTGTTTGATGTTAGAAATTGAACTAGAAGTGTTGGTATTTGGCAAACATGTTTTGCATTATATCTATAAACTTATAATATTTTGGAAATTTTAAATGAAGCTGCTAATGGTAATGAAATGGGTGTTGTTTATGAAGTTCTTTCAATGTTTAATTAATGAAGTACATCTCCACTTTATTCATGGGCAAGGTCGGGTAGAAAGTATCTAGCAGGCTTGCTTGACCGGGTTATCTTGGTTGAGCGTCGATCGCGCTCCCCGAGGTCGGGGCGTGACAATAAAGACATGAGGAGTTGTTCTGGCTCAAATATATCCCCGTACACCTTAGGCACAGTAGGGTAGCAAAGACAACCAAAACTCCTCAAATAAGAGTAATTGGGTTTCTTGTGATATAAAATTTCAATGGGGCATTTGTTGTTTAGGTAGGTAGTAGGTAATCTGTTAATTAAGTAGGTGGTTGTCAAAATGCATTCTCCCCAATATCTAGATAGTAATTTAGATTGAAACATAAGTACCCTAGCAGTTTCTAGGAGATATTTGTGTCTTCTCTCCATTACCCCATTTTATTGTGGTGTATAGGGGTAGGTTTTCTGATAAATGATACATTTGGATTGATAAAATGTGGTGGCTTCATGACTGGTAGACTCCAGCCCATTGTTAGATCTGATGGTTTTTACAGAGGTGTCGAATTGATTCTCAGTAATGGTTATAAAAGCTTTAAGGGCTTGTAGAGCATTTCTTTTACTGCTTAGTAAATGGGTCCAAGTAGACCTGCTAAAATCATCCACTAATGTGAGGAAGTACTTGTAATTATCATGGGTAGTGACATGATAGGGACCCCATATGTCAATATGTAATAATTCAAATATCTGAGTGGAGGTACTAGTTCTTTGTGGGAATGGGAGTCTGGCTTGTCTAGCCATAGGGAAAAAGGAACAGATGAAAGGTTGTTTGGGTGAGAAATTCACAGGTATGGAGGATATTCCTCTTATTTTGACAAAGGGAACGTGACCAAGCCTATTATGCAACAAAAGATTCACATCATACTTATCAAACACATCTAAAAACTTATTCTTATTATTGTGAGTGGAAGTATTTACATTTGGTGAATGATGATATGAATGAGTAGGACCTCTGAAGTCTCCACTATTTACACTAGCAGAAGAAAAACAATTACAACAAGAAACTAACACATTAGCATTTGAAAAAGTACTTTTACCCTTTAGATATCTGGAACATAGGTAGTATAGTCCCTCTATGATACTACCAATCACCTGAGGCCTCTTCACTGAAGGGGCCTGTAATTGACATAGTGCATTAGTAAAGAACACAATACATCTAAGATGCACTGCAAGTGAATGTACATAAATCAGGTTGTATTTGAAAGATGGAACATAAAGGACTTTGTGTAAGGTGATTTCAGGACTAAGTATCATATCTCCAAATTCAAACACTTTCACCCTATATCCATTTGGTAAACTTATCAGTAGAGGATATGGTAGTGTGCTGATATTACTAAGTGATGTTTTATTGAAGGTCATACGGTTAAATGCTCCTGATTCTATAATCCAAAGGTCAGACTTTGATTCGAAACATTTGCATGATGGTTTGTCAAAATCAATAGAAGAAATGCAGACTACAATACCTGCAAAGTTGACATCACCATTAGTGATGTTGGCATTACTGGGAGATCCCCCTATGTTGCCTGTCTGGAAGTGTTGCAGCAAACTCATTATCTATCCATATTGTTCCTTTGTAAAGTTGACATTTTGATTCTCATCATGTAGAATTGGATCATCTTCCTTCTCATGGAGCAGATCAGCTGGGACTACATGTACATTTGCCACAACTCATTTTCCTCTATTGAACTTATGACCTTGAATCTGATTTGAACTGTTACTCTAACTGAATTGTTGAGTACTAGTGCTATTGAAGCTTGATTGTTGTATGAATTGCCTTGGGGATACCCATGTAGCTTGTAACACTTCTCCTTTGTGTGGCTTGGCCTCTTGCAGTAGTCACAGTATGGCCGACCCTATTGTTGGCTGTGTAGTGTGTTTTGAAGTTCCTAGCTCCGAGTGAATTTTGATGTTGTGAAGATATGGCATTCACATGCAATGAAGTAGACTCGAGGTTTAGTTGATTGTTTGGCCTAAATTTTCTCTACTTCTGATCTTCTTGTATTAGCAGAGAGAAGTCTAGTGCCAAGGATGGCAGAGGTTTCATCATCAAAATGCTTCCTCGCACTATTATATAGAACTCATTTAGGCCCATCAAGAATTGAATGAGTCATCGATCCTGTTCTACCTTATGCATAGTTTCCTTTTATCCACATATGCAAACGCAGTTGCACTGAGATTTAGCACTCAGGGTGTTTAATTCTTCCCACAATCTTTTCATTCGTGTATAGTAGGCAGTGATGTCTAAGGTGCCCTGAACAAGGTCATTAATCTCCTTTTGTTTCTGATATAGCTTTGGCTCATTTATTTGATCATATCGATCTTCCAGTTCCCTCCATAGCTCGACTGAGTCATTGACATACTCAACACTGTCATAAATCTCATTTGCGAAGGAATTAAGGATCCAGGAAGTTACCATATCGTCGTATCTTTCCCATTGACGAAACTGGGGTGAATTGGGGGTAGGTTTCCTACATTCCCCATTTATGAACCCTAATTTGTTTTTGACTGATAGGGCTCGTAACACACTCCTTCTCCATGATCTATACCCAATTTCGTCAAACGGAACAGGCACTAGCATTACTCCGGGACTATCCGAAGGGTGAATGTATAGAGGACTGCTCGCATCGATGACTGGTTGGTCATTTCTGCTAATACTCGGCGTGATTTCTTCTGTTTGATCGACAATAATGTGAGAAGCTCTAATTGATGAAATTGACGAATGTATCAACCGATTTAGTGAGTAGACAAATCAATTTTGTAGAAAATTCTTCAATTCGTACGAAAATTGCATATCTAAGTCACAGATCCAAACCCTAGCAGGTGACGGGGGAAAAGAGATTTTGAAACACAAAAATTCCGACAGATTTCGAGCGAATGCATTCTACTGGCTCTGATATCATATTGAGATTAACACAATGAAGAAGATATGAAGCTTGCTTAGAAGCTTCAATGTTGATTCTCGAGAGTTCTGAGAGAGAGGAAAGGGGTTGAGAGGAGAGAGAATGAGATGAATTGTAAAATGGAACCCTGATTCTCATAATTGTATTGTATATATATGTACATGTATTTAACTATAATACCTCTACGAATACAACTAACTTTACAACTATTACAACTAACTGCACATAACTACATGATGACTCACCATAGCACAATGTAGAAGTAATAATAATTAACTCTCAATAAATTTTATACTCATAATTTCAAAGAACTTTGAACTTTGAACCTATAAAATTTATCTTTTGATCTGTCCCTATTTAGAAATATTTGCATCGATGTTTCCTTTTATATATATAAAGTAAGTACAAAAATATATATTCACAGATTTAGTGAAGTTATATTATTCCCGTTTGCACCCAAAAAACAAAAAAGGGAAAGAAAGGAAAGTGAAGTTACATATGTAGTGACATACATAACAAAAAGAACTAAAGGAAGCCAAAACACAAATTCAACATCCCATTTTACTTGTAATAACAGTGGTGTCCGAGCCTGCTTGTTAACTGTGTTGTCCGGGCCAGTTGCACGTATTTTAGGGTTTGTTTTTGCCATAGCCATCATGATGAGAAGCCTTATGCCTATCTGCAAACCCATTAAACAAAGCCAAAGCATTGCTTGTAACTTGTGCAACATTAAGAACCTTAGCTTTAATAGTAGCCCTCACTTTACCACCCATTAAATACCCAGAATTAATCCCATCCAAGCAATTGAATGCATCAGTCAAAACTGTACTAAGCCAAGTTTGAACATTACTTTGATGCCATACAAATGCTCTTTCACCATCTAAACTCAAATGTTGAAGCTCTTTAACAGAATTTGTAAGCTGGGAAACGCCATTGGAGATTTGTTCGAAACAATCGTACACTCCTTGATTATCCTTAGCTTTGGTTTGATTAAGTTCTTTGCATACCTTCATGAGGTAGTATTTTGTGTATACAGCCCTAACTAAACTTACCTTCAAAGCAACTTGAGCTATTTCCTGAGGATCTTGTGAAGTAGAATTTACATGGTTGGCTAGAGAAGTTACGCATAGTTTTGGATAACGAGTTCGCCTGCACTGTAACTCTACAAAAGTCTTAGTACGAGGATGTAAAAGACTAGTACTACTCTCCGCTGCACACTTCACGGAGAATATCGATAGGACAAGAATCAGAAGGCAAAGGTTGAGTTTCTCCATTGGTGTGAATCGTGACCAAATATTGTCGAAAATGTTTGAATGGAATCAAGAACATACAAGGAACAAAAGGAGGTCTTCTGTAGAGAATGGCTCGAAAATGTTTTGCTACGATATGTAAAGGGGGGCGTTAGGGTTTATATAGGGGGTTTTCACATGCAAGTATGAGATTTTGACTTTTTGTATTTTATTTTACATGTGGCATATGCACACATAAATGAGACGTGAGTGTTAATTACTTTACAATTACTAAGCTTCTGATTCATAAAATGTTTGCACGTGCAAGTAGCTTCCAAGAAGAAGGTGGTAGTCAGTCACGTCAGGGTTCTAGCTAATGAAGAAAACCTAAATTCTTGATGCAACAATTTTCAACTTAAGCAACCTTTATTCAGAGCTTGGTTCTTCACTCAACCATTTCAAAAGTGATTTGAGAATAAATCTGAATCTTTAGATAATGTACGCTTCGTGATCTTGTTTCACAGGAAATGAATTCAATACGTATATCTTTGACCAATAAGTCATGGTTGAGGAGGATTGAACATCAATTAACGTTTGATATCATAGGGACGTAAGCTTTGTTATTACTAATTCATAGGATATCAATGACATGAAATACAAATGGGATTTGTTTCCAAATATTTAACCACTACAGTTGCATAAGGACCTCCAGAATTCACAAACCTTGGCTATTACAGATTAGTTATCATTTTTATATATTACCAATTAACGTTTATGTAATTTACTTATAGTCGTCTATTAATTGATTTATTGATTATGTTAAATACTTTTTATAGTGCGAAAAGCTTAAACTCTTATGGAAATTCACTATTTGAATTACAAAAGGCCTACTTGAGGAAAACCTACATCGTCATGAATATTTAACCAATAGTATATTAAAAAGCAGAGAGGAAAACTGATTTCATGAAGGAAGGAGTTTATTAGTCTCTTTTTATTTCAATTCTTTTAATTACATTAGGGGAAGGATCATTCATTAAAGAGAGACAGTAAAAGTTGAACATATATTTATAAAAGGGAATATATTAACTATTAAAGCAATTTTTTCCGCAAAACGTAGATATTTTTTATTTTCTTCCAAATAACCATAGAATAGGTTCGTAGGCGTGACTAAGGTACTTATAAGTTTAGGGTTGACGGATTGTTATCAGTTGATTACCGCCCCAGATAGAGCCTATTCTTTTGAGGTTGTTTTTTTCCTTTTGAAGGACCGACTTGACAGTATAGCTAGCTTGACGCTATTTGGTTGTCTGCGTTTGACCATCTTATGCGAAACAGGCTCCCTAGTCGACGCCTGCGGCAACTTGTCTCCATAAAATTAACTATTATAGTTACAACAGGAGATATCTATATATATTATTATTATGTATTAATAGGGAAGACTGTTGACTAACACGCTTACTTGCTTAAAATAATTACTAATGTTGCATAATGGAATTAAGTACTAGATCGGAAATTATCATACTGTAAACTAGACCTTCTTAATCAAGTGATTATACTTTTTTCTTTCTAGTATCTTTTGTAAAGGAAGTATCTGATATAATTCAACTTTTTAAATGGGGGTGCTTTGCCCCGGCTTCCCTTTCATTACGTTTTTTAAGAAAATATAAATGAGAGAGGAAACACTCTATTTACAATTCCAGGTGAGGAGACTAGTGAAAGGGAAGGATCAAGAATATAAGTATATATTTTAGGAGCTAGATTAATTGGTGAGGAACAAGAAAGAATTGCGTCAACAAACCTTTTTCAATGTATCTAGTGAAGATAGGTTTCAAGTGCGTACTAGATGCGACTATGATTAATGACCTGTTTGGTCAAGCTTCTTGGATGCTAACAATATTTTTTTCGGAAAAAAGTATTTTTTTTAAAAATTTGAAGTGTTTGACCAACAAAAAAAATGCTTTTGAACTTTAGCAGAAGTAGTTTTTTTGTTGTTGGGAAGAAGCTGTAAACTTCTACTTTTTAAAAAACAAGAAGCAGAAGCAGAAAAATAATTTTTTAAAGACAAAAATACCTTTATCATAAATTTATATTTATCAAACAATTTTTCATTAATTTAATACATCTATTTTTTCAATATAATTTTTCTTCTTTTTCTATTTTATTTCTTCCATACTTTTTCCTTTCCTTTTGTTTTTTCCCACTATCTCTCATATGTTTCTCCTCTTCCTCTTTAGAACTCGTGTTTGTTAACTCAATTATTGTATTTTAGTTTGATCCGTACATAAGAGAATCTGATAAGTGCCACGTTACGTTCTTTGAACATGTATTTATTTTTATTTCTTTTGACTTTATCAAAATTTTACTTTAATTTTTTTTCTTTTCATAATTTCATTTCTAAGTGTTGACCTTATTCCCGTTATACATATTAGTAATTGATCACTTGTCAAATTGGTAGTAGTGTTATCAACATGTACTTGTGATTTATGAATAGAATTTTAATTTATATTAATTGATGTAATTTATTATATTTAAATCATCATAAAAAGTCATCATAGAGATATTCAATATTATTGTTTTAATTTAACTATAATTTATATTGATTAATAATTTTAATATGTCCTTTATTTTCATTATTAATTTAATTAATCAAAAAAGTTAATTAACGTCTTTCATAATAAACATTTGAACTATTTTTCGTTTTAAATAATCATATTTGAAATGAACTTTGATACTTTCTCTTTTTTGTATGTTGATATTCATAATTATTTTTTAAAATTATTGGCCAAACACAATCTAATTATCAACTAGTAAAAAAAGTACTTCTCAATTGAAAACACAAATTGCTACTCCCCAGAAGTACTTCTCTAAAAAGATTTTTGATAACGTGCTTCTCAAAATAAGTAATTTTTGACTGCTTGGCCAAATAGGCTCTACGTCAAGTGGATATTTTCTAATTCGCGACATGAAGCCAAGTCTTTGACGAGCCTCGAAGCAACAGATTTACCTTAGGCCAAGTGATGTTACGTCAAACCCCTTCGTCGAAATATTCTATTGAATATGTATATCTACGCTATATTAAAAGCACAAAGCCCCTTAGTGTTGTCGTTCGTCTTTCTACTCTTTAAAAATTAATTTTACACTAGATAAAATAGTCATTTAATTATTTTCTTAATATTTAGCACTCTAAAATTAACTAACTTTTGTATATTAAATTATTCTTTATTTGAATTGTGCAATATAATAATTTTGTTAAAAAAATAACACATAAAACTTGCACTAAAAATTTTGCCCATTTTCAATTCCTTTTAGGTAGGAGTCCTTTCCTCTCTCACATGTCTTGGTGGTATAAAGTTATTAAATGCCAACTCTTAGACCGATTGAAATCCATGAAAAATAGTACTCCATCTGTTTCAAATTAGACGAGATACTTTCCTTTTTAGTCTGTTCCAAAATAAATGACAAATTTTTAAATTTAGAAATAATTCAACTTTAAACTCTTCATTTTACCTATTTTACCATTAATGAGAAACTTTTATAACCACACAAATGTCATGACCCCATAAAGCTTTTACCCCTTAAACTTCTAAGACCTCAAGTTTCAAAAGTCTTCTTTTTTTCTTAAACTCCGTGCCGAGTCAAACTACCTCATCTAAATTGAAACGGAGAGAGTACATTTTTTCTTGGGTGGGTCGAGAGAGCATGTCGATGAGTGACAATTTTGACCTCATTTGTTAAAAAAAAGAGAGACAGAAAGGAGGATGAATAAATAATATTGAATGGGGGTTCTAAATTTATAGCTATACAAAAAATTAATCTTTTAGCAAATCAAGATATTTTTAAAAATAAATTAATGAAAAAAATTATTTTTCATATTTAAAAAAATTTAAAAATTATTGAGGGGGATATTATAGATGAAAATTTTCATTATAGAAAACCTAAAAGTTTAAAAAGTTTAAAAAATAGGAATTCTTTTAAACCTCTTTAGTATTTGTATATTGATTAATATTTTTAATATATCAATGATTGAAAATATTTTTATGTGGCAATTGTTTCTTATTGAGTTAGATATATAGGATCAATATTTACACCAACTTTGCTCTCGGTGCACGATAAATGTATGCTATTGTGCGCCTAGGTCGGCAATGGGCAGAGGGAGGCCACGTAGGGAAACGATTAAGGCTCAGGCAATTGAGTAGAAGACCATGGAAGTTGTTCGCCGAAGTGGAGGAGTGTGTGAAGCTATTGCATCCTTGGAACAGTTGGAACCTGAATTAGAGATCTGGCCACCGCTTAGTAAACTGGTTGAGTTTCGCACACTGCCAAACGCCGCCAGTAACATGCACATGATTGCAAACACGAGCAAAGGAACAAATATTAGCAGCTCGAAATCAGTAGCAATGAAGGAGGTGACTAACTCTAACCCCTCTATGGATAAGGGCATGGAAAACCACAATTCAACTCTCGCAAAAATGGGGAATATCCCCAATCCATCAGTGGAGAAGAAAGTGCACAATCCTAATTCATCAATGGTGAGGGGAATAACAATTTCAGCTAAGGAGGTGATAGCAGTAGCACCCAAGGATACTACAATAGGGAATTCAAGCGATATGAATAAGGATGTGTAAATTTTATTGGGGAAGGTACCCAAAGCTATGCAGAAGGGAGCAACAGCTGCTGCTGCCTAGAGGCGATTGAACTTAAACCCACCTGAAAATAACATGGAGTGGAAGAACTTATTTTACAAAAATAGAAGATGGCAGCATGAGGAATGAATCTGAATTTTGTTCCTCGATCATGAAGGATGGGGAGAAAATTCTTGAACTAAAAAATCTGGAGATTGAAAAGGAGAATGCGAAATGGAAGCAAGCCTTGATCCTATATGTGGTGGGTATAACTCCTACCATAGGAGCACCGGAAAGGTATATTCTGCTCATTGGAATTTTTCCACGAAACCAAAGGTTTTCTATCACAACGATGGCTAATTTCTAGTAAAGTTTACTTGTATTGAGGATAGGGGCACAATTCTCTATTCAGGGCCATATACCATGAATAATAAGCCAATGATCATCAAACCGTTAATACTGAAGTTTTACAAACTGTTCTATTATGGGCTAAACTTTCAAATTTTCCCTTGAGTTGTTGGGCAAT